AAAAAAGGGATGAAGGAGGAGGATGGAAAAATAGATACGTGGCGAAAGAAAGTGAGAGATGCAAAGAGAGAGAGAGAGGGAGAAAGAAATAAGAGAATAGAAGGAGGGGAGAGAGAAAGAGATAAGGAGAGAGTAGAGGGGAAGAGAGGGAGAAAGAAAGAAGGAGAGAGAAGGAGGGGGAGAGAAAGAGATACGGAGAGAAAGAAAGAGATAAGGAGAGAGAAGGGAGGAGAAGGAGAAAGAAATAAGGAGAGATAAGGGGGGGAGAGAGGGAGAAAAAGATAAGGAGAGAGAAGGGAGGAAAGAGAGATAGAGAAAGGAGAGAAAGAGGAAGCGAAGGAGACAGAGAGAAAAGGAAAGAATAAGAATAGTAGAAAAGGGAAGCATAAAGAAGGGAAAATAGTGAAGGAGGGAAGAAGAGAAAGGTGAAGACAAAGACAGATAAAAGTAGACAGAGTGAGAGGAAGAGAGAGGAGACAGGGACGGCGAAGGAAAAGAAAAATGAGAGAGGGAAGTATGAGGAAGAGAGGAAGAGGAGAAAAAGAGAGAGAGAGAGAGAGAGAGAGAGAGAGAGAGAGAGAGAGAGAGAGAGAGAGAGAGAGAGAGAGAATAATAAGAATAAGAATAAGAAAAAAAAAAAACAGGAGAGAAGAGGAGAGAAGAGGCGTGGAGAGGAAAGAGAGAAAGAGGGAAAGAGGGAGAGAGGGAGGGAGGGAGGGGAGAGAGAGAGAGGGGGAAGTAAGAGGAAGAGAGGAAGAGGAGAAAGAGAGAGAGAGAGAGAGAGAGAGAGAGAGAGAGAGAGAGAGAGAGAGAGAGAGAGAGAGAGAGAGAGAGAGAGAGAGAGAGAGAGAGAGAGTGAGAGAGGGGGGGAGAGGAGAGAGAAAAGAGAGAGAATAATAAGAATAAGAATAAGAAAATAAAACAGGAGAGAAGAGGGGAGAAGATGAGGAGAGAGAGAGGGGGAGGAGAGAGAGAGGAGAGAGAAAGATAGAGAGAGAAAGAAAGAGAGAGAGAGAGAGAGAGAGAGAGAGAGAGAGAGAGAGAGAGACAGTGAGAGAGAGAGAGAGAGAGAGAGAGAGAGAGAGAGAGAGAGAGAGAGAGAGAGAGAGAGAGAGAGAGAGAGAGAGAGAGAGAGAGAGAGGGGGGGGGGGGGGAGAGAGAGAGAGAAAGATAGAGAGAGAGAGAGAGAAAGAGAGAGAGAGAGAGAGAGAGAGAGAGAGAGAGAGAGAGAGAGAGAGAGAGAGAGAGAGAGAGAGAGAGAGAGAGAGAGAGAGAGAGAGAGAGAGAGAGAGAGAGGGGGAGGGAGAAGAGGAGAGAAGAGGAGAGAAGAAAGATGAGAGGAGATGAGAGGAGATGTAAGAGAGGTAAGGACAGGAGAGGAGAGAAGAGGAGAAGATAAAAGAGAATAGAAGAGGAGAGAAGAGAGGAGAAGAGAAGAGAAGAGGAGAGGAGAGGAGAGGAGAGAGATGAGAGGAGAGAGAGAGAGAGAGAGAGAGTGAGGATGAGACTGAGAGAGAGAGAGAGAGAGAGAGAGAGAGAGGGAGAAGAGGAGAGAAGAGGAGAGAAGAGAAGAGATGAGGAGATGAGAGGAGATGAGAGGAGAGGTAAAGAGAGGTAAGGAGAGGAGAGGAGAGAAGAGGAGAAGAGAAAAGAAAATAGAAGAGGAGAGAAGAAAGGAGAAGAGAGAGGAGAGGAGAGGAGAGGAGATAGGAGAAGATATGAGAGGAGAAGAGAAGAGGAGAGGAGAGACTGAGAGAGATGAGAGAGAGAGAGAGAGAGAGAGAGAGAGAGAGGAGATGAGAGAGAGAGAGATGGGTGAGCGAGAGTGCGAGAGAGAGAGAGAGAGAGAGAGAGAGAGAGAGAGAGGAGAAGAGAAGAGGAGAGGAGAGGAGAGGAGATAGGAGAAGATATGAGAGGAGAAGAGAAGAGGAGAGGAGAGGAGAGGAGAGAGAGAGAGAGAGAGAGAGAGAGAGAGAGAGAGAGAGAAAGAGAGAGAGAGAGAGAGAGAAAGAGAGAGAGACAGAGACAGAGAGAGAGAAGGGTAGAGTGAGAGAAAGAGAAAGTAAAAGACAAAGAGAAATGAGAGTAGAAAGAGAAAAAGAAAGAGACGGAGGAAGAGAAAAAAGAGAGCAGAGAAAAAAGACAACGACCAAAATAAATAAATAAATAAACAGCTGGCAACTCACACCCCAAGTCCAATTGTTTATTTGCTTAGAAGTCTCCCACGCTTTCTCATTTCGTCGCGTGTAATGAATAACAACTTCCTTCATCTTACCGTCTTTGAGTGGTACCGTACCGTCATATCTGTACCATCTGTTAAACCGTACCGTAGCCTCCGCACCGTCTGTTATACCATATCGTAGACTCCACGCAGTACAGTCCGCCGTACCGTAGCCATCGCATGTGGTTGGTGCTGTACCGTAGCCATAGCATCGTGCAGTTTGCTATGCCGTACCATAGACTCCGTACCGTCCCGTCTGTAGTTGGCACCGTACCGTAC